ACTCCGACGAAACAGTTTGTCACAGCCCCTTGTTTGTTGTCCTCTTCTCTCTCTCTGCCTACGGTTTACCGGGCAGTTCTGTTTGTGACGATATATATATGACGATATATATATATATTTTATATTAGTCGTTAACCTTTTCTCATCTCAACGAACGCTTTTCTTCGACTTCCTTCTTCTTTTCATCCGATTCCCCTCCCTTCCCCATCTTCTGCCTTCTTCCTCTCCTTCCCTCCTCACTCCTCCTCCTCTCCTCGCTCTTCCTCTCATTTACGTCCCTTTCAAAAAGAAGTAAAACATAAAAAAAATCCTGCAATCGGTTGATAATGATTGACGATGTGGCGGAATCGAATCGAGCCGCCGAGAAAAGGTGTAATCAAGTTTTTTTTTTTTTTTTTTTTTTTCCCCCTGTTGTTGTTGTCGGAATTAGCAAATGGTGTAATCGAGCCGCCGAGAAAAGGTGGAATCTCATTGATAGGTTGAGAGGTAGATAGGATAGATAGGATTATAGACAAATCGATATATGGAGGATGATGCCCTTGAGGACATCCGTTAAAATTGGAACGATACACAGAAGGGTAAATTAGCAAATGGCCCCTGCGCAAGTGTTCCAAAAAAAGAAAGATATGGCGGATGGGAAAAAGGTAGACAGCTAGATAGGCAGATAAAATACATAGATAGAAAGATAGATACAGAGGCAGGTAGATAAGGTAGTTAGATAGGTACATAAGATGGACAGAGAGGGGATAAGCGAAAGGTAGATAGGTAGATAGGCAGATAGGTAGATATGTAGATAGGTAGATGTGATATGTAGATAGGATATGTAGATAGGATAGGTAGGTAGATAGGTAGATAGGTAGGTAGATAGGTAGGTAGGTAGATAGGTAGATAGGTAGGTAGATAGATAGATAGGTAGATAGGATAGGTGTAGATCGGGAGGATAGGTGGATATGTAGATAGGTAGATAGGATATGTAGATAGGATAGGTAGATAGGTAGGTAGATAGGTAGATAGGTAGATAGGATAGGTAGATAGAGTAGGTAGATAGGTAGATAGGATAGGTAGATAGGGTAGGTAGATAGGTAGATAGGATGGGTAGGTAGGTAGAGAGGTAGAGAGGAAGATAAATCGACATAGATAGGGGCTTGTAATGGGGGGGCATGGAGAAAGGTCATGGTATACAGCAGAAGAAGGGGTTGAGTTGGGAGCCGAGAAAGACAGCAAACAAAGGCCAAAAACAAAAGCACACATTGGTAAATCCATACCCATTGAGCTGGGCCTACATTAAAAAAAAAAAAAAAAAAAAAAAAAAACATACGCATACAATTTCCTGTATAAATACTATAAAACTACGTAAATCGATAACTAATAAGGTTTTTTTTATGCCTTGTCTTTTACGCTTCTGTGGCCACTTCCGGCATTTTAAGTTTTAAATTTAAATTTTATTTTTCTTAATATTAGTTTTTAAAATTTAAAATTTGATCTCTCTCTGTTTTTTTTTGTTTTTTTTTTTTTTAATACACACTCTGCGTTTTCCTTTTCTGTTGTTCTGCGCTTCTCTTTGCGAGAGTCCAATGCACTCCTACCATAGGGTTAAGTATTAAAAGGCTGTAAACATTAAAATCGGAAAACTGGAAAAAAAAAAAAAACAAAAAAAAAACTGAAATGTCCTTCCGGGACATCGTTTTTTTTTTTTT